ACAGCGATACCCATTGGCTACTAATATATCAACCGTTGAAAACAAATTATAAGTAATATATAATATATTATAGTATTTAAAAAAAAATTACTGTTTATCCAAGATCGATTATTATTATTATTTTTTTTTTGGGGGGGGGATCAAAAGCTTTAATAGACATCTAATTATAATGTTTGCTCTACTATCTGCCCTATCTACTTATAAATATTATAATTTTATTTGTATTTTGTAATAATATTTACAGATATATAGGTACTAGGTAAGTTACTTAAATAGTTAGATAGGTAGAACAACAAAAGTTATTTTGGCTTGTTTTTCAAATAAGAGAATTCTTTGGCGGTTTTCATAGAAAATTGATTATTTCGTGACACTGTGAATACTTAGTTGGTAGTCGCAGTATAAGTATAATGTTATTAGAGTATATTAGCTAGTATGGTAGTGTATAGTCATTTATAGATATACTTTTGCGTTTTGTCATAATATTTATATTCGAATATGACTGTAAACTGTAAGTGTAAAGTGATGACTGATGATGATTGTATACATATATCAATACGGCAATACGTATATAGATTTTAGATTATATCACACTGTGTATTGTAATTACATACTTATTTTTAAAATTTTATTTTTAGAAATATAAAATCTATACGATTATATATTTTATGTAAATAAGTAATAAGTGTTAAGACTTAAGAGTAATGAGTATAATATACGATCAGTAATCATGGCATGCGTATTGCGTAGATAGATAATGGTGAAGACATAGGTAATTCATCCGTTGATAGAACTCATAAAATTACTTAGCTTATAATTACTTAGATAGGTAGGTATCTACTTAAATATTAAATTATTATTTACTATTGTATATTAGGTATTATGAAATAATTTGGAAAATAAGCCAAATAAATAATTAGTTATTTCAAAATCAAAAATATACTGACAATTATTTGTAAATAGATATACTTAACCTATTCGTGTACTAATATTTATTTAATATTTACTTTTTTTTATAATATGTACCTATTGTTCTACTTTTTTTTGTTTATCTATTCAAAACATCTTTGAAAAAACACATGTAGGTACCTATCTATAATCATTAGCCACTAATGTTATGCTCAAATTCATAGAAAAAAATAATTACTTACACGACTAATGGGATTTGTGAAAATGCAGTATTCCCTTTGGATATCTCTTGCTGTATTCCAGTCTCTATCATTATATAAAATATAATATATTTATCTAATTGTAACGCTTGTATCTCTAGGCTCTAGGTACCTATATAAGTATATTATAGTATGTAGGTACATTGTTTATACGTCTGGCATGGGTAATAATATAAATAAGTCTGTTATCTGTATGATATAAAAAATAAAAGGTGAATATTTAATAAAATAAAAATTAATTATTATACATATATATTTCCGAACTGATACCTATCTGTAATTAGTTTCATATCCCATATAAACCCAGTACGTAATAGCTTTAGCAATACCATTGATTATTTAATAAATTATATATTAAAATAGTTTATTATAAATATAGGTAATCGGTAGATGTATAATTATTAATTATATAGGTAGGTAGGTATGTATTTATAATAGATATTGCCGTCCTAATGCAGTTATTATATTGTTCACTTACACACGAAATATTAAAATATACATTTATCAATGTTTTCGCTTTGATAAAAATTAAAATGATTTAGCATTTATTTTTGTTACAATTTTTAATTCAAAAACGTATGTAATAGTTATTAATATTTAATAGTAAACCTTTATACCTAATTTATACATTAACGTATTAACGTATATTAAACGTATAATAATACAGAAAAAATAATTTGGTATAGCCGTGTATATCATATGGCTTATTTAATAGTTTCAATAGTAGGTATCTAAGTAATTTTAATAAATTACGAATTAATGTGTTTTCAGTTTTAGTATTGTATATTTGCAATTTGCATGTCAATATACCTACTAACCTGTATTTTATTTCTTGGTATAGGTATTAGGTATATTATTAAAACAAGTATATATTTTATGTAAGACAATATTATATTTTCAGCTGCGTAGATTTCTATACCCATGTCAAAAAAATATATTTGTGATAAATTACATTATTATTTCAACTAAATATTGTAAATATATGACCAAATAATAGTTATTTATACATATACAGTAATATGTGTAGATGTATTATTCAAAAAGTGCGTATGCCTGGCTTGTGTTATAATTTTATAATGTAATAACTATATTATTCACAGTAATACTTAAATATTAGTAGTATAAGTAATACAAATATTAGATTATGAATAACTAATAAATATTAATAAATACTAGGGGGACCTATACATAAGTATAGGTATAAGTAGATTTAAGTACCTAAGTATTTATATGTAGTATATGTTTATTATCTACAATATATTACTTACATCAATAATTTACGTGTAATGATAATGAAATAAAAAAGATTGCTGTAATTTGTATAGGTAATAAAATTAAAATGATTACCTATATAGTATATATAGCGACGAGCAAAGTTACTGAAAAAACGGCCAGTATAAAATAAATAAATAATAATATTAAATCTGTTTATTTTTATAAACTATAGCCTATAGGTTTTATTTAGACAGTATTAAACACTCATTATAATAGGTATATAATATGGATATAAATTACTTTACAATATATACGGTATAATCTATATAGTATATATAGGTACATATATATATATATATGTATTTATTAAATAATTTATTTTTTATATAACGTATTATACGTGTATTTTAAATACACATAAATACATGATCATAAATCAATATTTATATTATTAATTATTTTAATTTAAAAATATTGTCCTGAAAAAAATGATCAAGGTATTTTATAATAGACTCGCAAATGCAAAAATATATAATCTCACGTATATGTCTTATACTTATTGATGTACCTATATTAGGCATGCGTATATAGATTATAAATATTGAACAAACTTAATTTTTTTTTTTTTAAATAAAATGTTTTTTCAGTTTAATTGTAAGATAAGTAATTTTGTAGTTATGAGATACGGTTGTTGTGGGGCACCGAGTCTGAACAATAGGATTTGTTGTTTTTTATTTATTAGATATTTCGTACTTATTTATGTGTATTATATGGAGACATGGAGTTATAGAAAAAAATATGTTTTGTATTATTAATTTTTAAATTATTTTATGTTTTTAAATGACATCTTATATTTTTAATTTCATCATATTTCAAAGCAAAACATTTTTTTAGAAAATGTCATCAGGCAACAGTTAATTAGGAATAATGTTTAATAATTATAAGCACATTCTTATATTATTTAAAGTGATTCAATATGAGTACCTAACTCTAAAATTTTGGTCCACTTCTCAACTCATTTATATTATACAGGCTTATGCCTCATGCTTTCAACTAAACTTAAAGTGCTTATTTATAACCAGGGCTTGTGAATTCATGCTGTAAAAAATGCCTAAATAAGTATGCATTTATTCACTAAAAACTGGAAAAATATGTACTTAAATTCGCTAAAAATCTAAAACTATGTACTAAAAATATTATGTAGATTAAAAAATGAAGAAATTATAATTAATTTTCGGAATAACAAAAAATGTCCATTTATATATTTATTTGTTTTAATGTAATTCCAAAAAATAAACTAAACATTATTCATTAATAATTTAATAAAATAAACATTCAGAAAATCTTGAAAATTCCCATATATTTTGTACAGCACAAACATATAAATTATTGAATTTTCATCAAAGTTTGGTAAAAATAAGCTAAATATACACATAATAAAATAGAAAAATATCTAAACATACTAAATAGTTAAAAATCCTCTAAATATGCATAAACGTTCACATAGTACTTAGCCACGGTATACCTTGAAATGGATCTCTATGTTACCTAGCAATTAGCATTAAATACGACTTAGCAAGTTTGATATGCAAATGTATGAACTCACTACGAACCTAGCTGCTTTTAGCTAATGAATTATAATTGTTCAGACTTTAATTTTTCATAATATTTTTAAATTCTCACGACAATATTATATAACTTCGGATTATTACATCAACAAAAAGGATAAAATTGTTTTCAAAAATATTTTTATAATAAAACAAAATCATAATCAAAAATAAATCAATAAAAGTTAATACTTTTCTAGGAAATAAGTTTATGAATAAAATAATAATTCCGTAGGTATAAGTTACCTACTCCTAGTAGTTTATAATAAGACCCTATAATAAAGTATAGTTACCTACTTGTGATTTGTATCAGGTCGTAATAGAAAAGTATTTCATATTTTCGTGTATTATTTTACATATTTTAAATATCTATTAGCTATTAAAATTGTTAACACGGAGTGAACGAAACTCGTTTAAAAATGATCTTCAGAGTCAGAAACCGTAAAAAAAAAAATAAATAAAAAAATAAAAAAACCTAACAAAAACGTATAGTTTGATGCATTGAAAGATTCCGTGTCACGTATATATGGGTACCCACCCATACATATAGTGCTTGTATAATATACAGTCATTAATAGAATATGCAATATAGATGAGTGATATTATCATACAAAAATATTACAAATAAACGCTGTTAATTGTCGTTGAATTATTATTATGATAGACATTAGACAGTAGGCGCGTGTGTGTCTGTTCGTAATTCGCGATCGGCAAGATCGGTTATTATTTTTTTTGTTTACAATTGTTTCGTGTTTTTAATCGCATTTATTATTAGGTAATTATCTTTGAATTTTCCGTCGTGCGAGATTATTGAGTCATGGGCGCGGCAGCCGTTAAAGCCGGGCGCTTTAGCGCCGTCCGCTGCGGTAGCACTGCGCGCCCGACCGGCGGCCCATCCCTTTTCCCGTTAGCCAATCGACGCCGACCGAACGGCGGCGAACAGGTAAACAAGATTGCATTTTTAATGTACCGAGTACCGTGTGCGTAATGTAGGCCCCGCACAGCCGTAGTCCGCACTCCGCAGTCCGCAGTGTTAGTGGCGAGCTGCTCTCTGACGGTAACTCGTCGGCCAATATTTTTCGATTATTATTATTATTATTATTATTACTATTATTACTATTATTATTATTATTATTTTCTGCGTACGTCACATACTTTTCTGCACGCCGTCGTCGTCCCCGCACGACTTTCTGTGGCGCGTTAACATCGATATCGACTCGCATTATTATAATAATAATTAATAATATCGTTAATGTTATTATCGTTGTTCCGGGTGTGTACCAGTTACGGTTTTCCGCGCGGCGTTTGTGATTTCGCGATGCACACAATGTGACGGGGCCCGGAGACTAGGCGATATGTGCAGTGCGTGTTACCGCAGATTTGATTGAATTATTCGGTTTGGCCACGAATTGTGTCCCGAACGAAAAGCGCGACGTGACACAACCATGTCGGCCGACGCCAAGTGCCCGTTGAGCATCGTAGACATGCTGCTCAACGATACGTCGACGTTGGACGTCTTCGACAAGCCGGCTGCTGATGACGACACCGACGTAAGCCTTTTTTTTTTTTATACGAATTTTTTATTTACGTTTTTTTGAGTCTTATCCGTTAATCGACCGTACTCCTCGCCTGCGTGGGCGGTGAACGGTCGGAGGGCGGTGTCCAAAGAGCAATCGCACGTATTTGAATCAATTGGAGTCTTATTTGAATATGGGGTTTTTTTTTTTGTTGCAACCCTAGAGAGTCGTGAACTGGGACCTGGAGAACGACAATTTCCTCGATTCTCTGTTGAAAATGGAAAACGACTCGACGCCATTTGAGTTTTTGTCCAGCAATGATGACTTCATGTCGAGCGCGGCCACTACGCCAAGATCCTACGACAACGCCGAGAGCAGTTCATGTTCAGACAGCGGTACGCTACTTAAACATTCCCACTGTCCCAGCTTTTGTATGCGTCAAATCATCATGACGTTTAATATGCTTATCCACGTTACACGGATGATTGTGTGGTTGACAAAATGGTTTTCTACCCAGTTTTCGATTACCTACCCACAGATTTTATTCATTAATTAATAGATTCTATGTTAAATTTGTATTATTTATGAAATGTGCTCAAGACAAATGAAACATATGTTACACTTAAATTCCATATGTCAAGTTTAAATTGCCCATTTTCTTGTATTTTTTACCATTCTTCCAGTATTTTTAACATTTAAACAATTATAAATCATTATTAATTTCAAAATTTGGTAGTTAAAGATATTGAGTTACTTAAATTCATTATTAAATTTAAATGTGAGATAGATAAGTAGATAGGTGATTCAGTGAAATTTTTTTATCTATTCCCATGTTATAAATTATTCTGTTTTTTAATAAATATAATAAATATTTATATTGGTTACCACATGACAATGGTCCAAGCATTTAAAAAAAATTATGTACACTGGTACACATAGTACATTTCTGATAAAAGTAAATATGTATAGGACTTTCATCTGTGGATAATATACCATTCAATCCATTCAATCCAATATCAGAATCTTCTAAGTCTGATGATGTCAAACCTAATATGGAATTTGCATATGATTCTTTCGTCAAAGAGGAAATAATAGATATTGATGACGAAGAAGAAATTGATGAAGATGATAATAAACTAGAAGATGATGAAGAAGATGACCATAAAGATAATATTAGTTTAGAAGAAAAACCTACTATCATTCAAAAACCACAATTATTGAAAACTACACCTCGCACAGTAGTGATATCACCAAAACAGTCTAAAGGACCAATTGCTATTTCTAAACATGTGTCAAAACCTGTTTTTATACCAATAAATTTATCAAACGTCAAAACAATTAAGGTAAGAAAGATTTATTTATTTTAAACTAATTCTGAGTATTCATAATTTAAATATATTGTGTAGGTGGTTAATCAGAATGGTAAAACAATTAATGCTGATGCATTCAGACGATTACAGTCTATAAACAATGGAAGAAGAATATTTGTGAGGAATAATGGTTCTATGGTCTCAAAATCCATGCCTGCTTTAAAACAGACCAAAATTGTGATGTCTGACTGTACAAGCGATGAGTCTGATTCTATGTATCCACGGCTTCATTTATCAAGTAAGTTAATACATTTTAGTTAGATATTGATAATAGCTTTTAATTATTTTATATTTTATTATTTATTAATAGATGAAGAAAGAAAATTAATGGAGAAAGAAGGAATTAAATTACCATCACATTATCCTCTTACAAAGCATGAAGAAAGAGATTTGAAGCGAATTCGTCGTAAAATAAGAAATAAAATATCTGCACAAGATTCAAGAAAACGAAAGAAGGAATATGTTGATGGTCTTGAAGAAAGGTAATTAATTAATTAAAACCAATATATTTGATCTAGATTCATGAATTGAATATAAATAAATGTTTAATATTTTAGAGTTAAACAGTGTTCTGATGATAATAACAAGCTTATAAGAAATATACGCTCGCTTCAGACTGAAAATGAAAGATTAAGAGCAGCTTTAAAACGTTTACAAAATGCTATCTCTCCAGGAGGTACAACAGCACAACCTGCCACATGTCTGTTGGTTCTTATGATGTCATTAGCTTTAATAGCAGCACCTAATTTGAGGCCCACAGTAACTGATGAAAAAGACATAATGTCCATAGAAGGTCAAGAGTCTAATACAGCGGTTCCAGGTTAGTATTATGTGTAACTTGTTTAAACATTTGAAGACTTAAACAGCATATTTGTATCTTTAGGTCGATCAAGAAACTTGTTATTCTCTAAGTCAGGATCACCTCTGAGCACTACTAATTTGAAGGATATGCTAAACATGGTCGCAAATGGATCATCAGCTGATGGACAAAGTGATACTATTATGGCTGAACTTGGCGAGCTATTGGATTTTAATGGTTTGACCCGCAATAAAGATCATGATTATTCGAGAACAACAATGGAAGATTATTATATACCCGAGTCTGATGATGGCTGGACCAAAGCTACAAAACGCTCTGCTCCATCTGAGTGGATCAATGAATTGGTAACACCAGATGTTAAGAATAAACGAGATACAGAGCCTGTGATTCTTGTGTCTAGCGATGAGGAATCTTATTAAATGAGAAAAGAAATTGTATTGGTGAGCGCAACAAGAGTTCTTTACTGTATGTCATTGCTATACCACTGATTGCTTTAGTGGCATAACGATATTTCGATTCCATTTTTATTTTGTTTCTTTAAAGGTATAATTTACCTTGAAACTCTTCTGAAAAACATAATTTTAGATAAATTTTATTTATAAACCATTAAAATGCTTTTTAACTATTATTGTTTGACATTTAATTATTATATATTTAGTTTTAGGGCTATCAACTAGGTAATGGGACACATAAACAATATTAGTTAATTTTATTATTGTAAGGAATGTGATTTTAAATGTTGGTTTGTGTAATTCTTTTTTTTTTTTTTAATATATTGTATTATCCTTTGTTGCGTGAATCAAATTTGAATTTTAAGAATTTTTATTCATATTTTTAAACAGGTTATAAATTATTTCCTCTGTTTTTATACTATCATTGTTTTATGAGAATAAATTCTTAATCATCAAACTATTAAAAAAAATCACTGAATTTATTTACTATATATTATAGTTACAGTCGTAAACTTAAAATGCTAAATCTATCAATTATTAATTAATTACAAATAACAATTTATAACTGCTGGTATTAATGAGAGTGATTTATCTTATTTGATCAAGTATTGTATGGTATGTCTAAAATAAACAATACATTTAAACATTTAAAAAAGATAATTTTTCATTAATTTGTGATGAAATACATCAATTAAAATTTATGGAATGATTAGTTGACACTTTATGAATACATTATGTTAAAAATACATTTAAATTTGTGTTTCATGCTACCATCTCGGTAAGGTGTCATTGTTAATTTTCATTTTAAGGATAAATATAGTGAATTTTTCGTTTTTTTTTTCTTTTGGCATTTTGCCTTGTACTCGATTTTTGTGATCCCAGACAAACGTTTTGTTAATCTCGGCCATTCTATTTCTATTAAGAAAAAAAAACCGCTGTAGCGCTTAATGGTGCATATTGTTTGATAAAAATTATTTTCAATTCAAATGTAACTAAACGCTAAGCTTATGAAAAGAAAGACCTTTCACTGTGAACAAGATATTGTCAAATGCAGTCAAACTGGTTCAATTGTTATTTGTAACCACCATTTATTCAGGAACTAACACGCATATATTACGCCGAAGGTTATGTTACAGTGTTAAACCTTTCTAATTTAGTTCGAAATTTGAAAGTTATAAGAACTTTATATATGTCCTATTTACTGTGTACAATATTCGATCTCCGATAATTTCAAGTGTTCCTGGATAATATTTGACTCACGACTTTTACATACGCTATGACGTCATCCGTCTTATGGAGTGCAGTAGTGGGCGGTGATACGATTTGATTCAACATGCGTATCATAATCTAGTATGTTAAACATTTATGCATTAACTATTAACTGTAAATAGTATACACTGTAGATGCGATTATTTCGATTTACAATATTTCTAATGCAGACAATACATTTTAATAAAATAAACACACTGAGCCGATTATTTGATTACAAAAATACAAATAAATGGAATAGTAAATGTAAACTTTAGTTGAGTATTTATTGGTTTTAGAATTAAATTGACGTATGAATTAACTAAAATATTCATTGCGAATCTACATTTTAGGAAGTAGAAATATTTTTATTAAAATATTTATAAGTTTAAAACAAAAATTGTTGCACTCATTTTGTATTGTTAAATCAGTTATGTAATATTTAATGTTAAATATGTTGATTTATATTCGAATCCACGGCATAGTTTCAATAATTACATAAGATTGATCCACATGTTTCATCGTTTTGATGACATTAATTTGATGGTGACAAACAGTAGTTTTGATTCTTATATCAATTATTATTTGTCATGTAAACACTAAACACTTGAAGACTGTGTTCTGTACATGTTCACGTTTTCGTACAGATGGAAACGAGTGTTGTGTCAAAAATTTAGGATGCAACCGTTTTCGAAAAACAGCAGTGTTGTCTTCTCCAGAGAATATTGACTTTTGGAAATTCGCTTGGCTTGATAATATTATCTACCGATCTACATAAAATTATAATACAGAGGTAGTAAACTACACCTCACTCATTGTGGTCGGTTTCAATTTATCTGCAGTTATCGGCATTTTTACTTAAATCGCGGTGACCAATATATTATTTTTTATTTTACATGACGTAGGTGATGAATAATAATGCTCGTCAAAAGCCGTCGAAAATTCATTTTTCGATTCCAGCCCCGGTGGCGTTGAATTCCGTTTTTATGATTTTTTAGCGAAACTTACAAGCATAGTTAACTATTTAAAACAATATTCACACCTTTATCGTCTCTTCTTCGAAGTCATCGCTTATTCGACCGAGTATGATCGTGTTATAATCGTGGCGTGCGGGTAGGCCGCGGTGCCGGGCGATTACCGTTATAATGTTATGGGAATGCAATTTTTAGTTTTTTTTTTTTTTTTTTTTTTTTATTAATTCCGTTTTGACCAGCCTCCACTGTGTGTTGTACGCGGGCCAATTATACCAAACCGGTTTACACACCACCTCCATCGGTCTATGATGCTGTGCTATGTGCCCATGTGTAGAAAGCCCGAGCCATTTACTTGGCTGCTGGATCGTTATACACTCTTAACTCTTTAGTATAAGTGTAATGATATACCGTTACAGATTGTTAATTGAGCGAAAAACTTTCGCGGCGCGCCGATTTGAATGTCGTTTTCGTCTGTAGTTTTTCAATAACACCCGCTCATATTAATACCGGTCGTGTGTAGAAGCCGGACACAAAATGCATGGTGAAACGACCAAAATATTATTTGATTTTATGACTGTATAATTTTATACGTGTACAATCGTATGATATTAATAATTGTTATAACATACACAGTGTATAATACCTATACATCGCCTTGTAGTTATAATAACGAACACTCCGATTACTTCCATAATTCTTGATAAGACTGTATATAGATACTGTGTGACATATATCGTATACTATTATTGTTTACGCTGATTGCCAGTGGCATGGTTTTCTAACGGTTTATACACCTACCTACGGATCGATAAAATGGAATTCTAGAAACATAAAAAATACGTTTTATTTTTTTTTTATTTTTTATTGGTTATTGTTTTTCGTGACAAGTTCAAATTTTTTCAAGAGGACGCCACGCCCGCACGCTTTGTCTCCGTTTTACAAACGTATTTCATGGAAAATTTTCGTTCAGTAAAATCAATTATGTGTGTTTACCTTAGGTGTTAGAGTAAAATGACTTATTATCAAACTTTTAAGTTAGAACATAATCTTCGTATTTACGTCGGTTTCTTACGATATTTCAATTTTTTAGGGTTAAAATTTTATGCACACACAATTTGCTTAAAAATTAAAATATCGTAAAAAACCTATTGAAATATATAGCGATATACTGATAGCAAACCGCACCTGCACCGCACGTATCGTTGTATATTACGTCGCAAAACGGCAAAACGGTTACCTATTGCGCCGCTAAACTGTTTACACGTTAAGTAAACACTTTGTAGAATAGGCATAGGTATCATTATGTTGTATATTTGTATACATGTAAACCAGGGGTTACCAATTAATGTTTTTAAATCTGGAAGTTTTTCACGGGCCATAAAAATTCAAAGTATATGCTTTTAACATTATTCATAATATCATTATACAATTGTAAATAGGTAACCGGAAAGAATTTTGTAAGACCTAGCTTTTGGTGACCCCTGACGTAAAGCATCTCTGAAGTCTGTTGAGGTTTTATAATTCTTTTTTCGTTGAAATAGTTTATTATAATACTGGTACATTATTGTTGTGTGCAAAACTTTCAAGTGTTCTTCCGTATTATTATAACACAAGGTATAATATAATGTGTATAAATATACTCGTATATTACGACGTTCGGTTATTATTGAGCATGGATAAATTCTTAACCTTCAGGTGGTCTTTTCTGAAACTTTGAATCTTTTAAAAGTTTTATGCGCGTTTAAATTGACGCATATAAAATATAAATTCATGTATATATCGAAATAACGAGCAAATACGATATTCTATTATACAATATATACACCGTAGTGCGTTTTGTGTTTTCTCGAGGATTTCAATTTATTTTCTAAAAGTTTTTCTTAATTCTCTTTAATGAAAAAGAGTTTTCTCGGTAGCATGATTTTTTAACAAGTACCTACATATCGGTTAATCCTCCCACTATGGCTGAGCTGCTATACACATAGTGGTAATAATTCACTGTTTTTACTGGGCAATTTAATAATTCACCGTCCTATATAGGTAAGTGGTACTTACATCGGTGGCGCCGATATCATCTGAAATGTACTTAAATGAAAAATGTCTATATATTTGTATACCTACCACTCACCTTAATTAACCAGGGATTCATTAACTCATTTTTTACATTTAATTATGAGCAAATTTTATAGTTTCTCTTGTTACATGGCAGCTCGAAGGTTGGTTTTTTACCAATTTAAAGTCAGAAATGTCTACACTCACGCATTGGCATCACTGACCTTCATAAGATGATACTCCTATTGTACAATGCAGAAATCTGAAAAATAAAACTAACGTACGTATCCAATAAAATCTTGTTTATATTTTTTTAAAACATAGGTATTGGTATTTGACACTCAAATCATGATTTACATTTTAAATTATGATATAAAAACATATTTTATTGCGGCGCAGTAATTATGACTCATTTTATTGACGATAATATTGTTCTAAAAAACAATTCGTTGAAATATTTTAATTAAATTCTTAATAATTTCATGTCATAACCTTTTTGTATTTTTACGGTATAGGTACAGACATAATTTCATGGACTGTACGTATGCAAGATGACCTTGATTATCTGTCAGCAATGGGATCAACAGGAGTGATGGATAACTGAAATAGATAAAAAAGATAAAAAAAAAATATAAATAGTGTATTTTACATAATTTTGGTTCGGTACATTTTACATATTGTTGTCAGGACATTCATTTTATAAATTATTATCGTATGTTATTACTTATTATTAATATTGTAATTTAATTTAATTATCTCTGATTTCTAAATCCCACTATGTACATATTATATTAGGTACCTACACATAAGAATGTATTTA